TATATATATATATATATATATATATATATATATAAATACAAATAAAAATCAATAATTTATTTAGATACTTGTGTTATATCAAGTCTCCAATTTCTCTTCTAGATCAGCACCATTCTGCTCCCGCCATCGAAGGAGTATTTGGGAAAGATTGGTGCATGGACCTGTGGAGAGAAGACAAGCTTCAGCCTCAGAGAAGACAGCCAATGGAGGCAGCTATGACAAACCTAGGAGCAGAGGTCAGCTCTGTTGTATTTTTTGCTATTCGATCATATGATGGCTGAATAATGAGAGAAGTATTTTTAGCTCTTTCTTTCATCCTGTTGGTAGGCAGCTGACATGATGGCGAGGGACCCTGATCTTATTTTCGTGAAAGAAGAGACATATGACGATCACCCGATTGGTCAACAGATGAGTCATATAGACAACAGAAAAAGTAAGAGTGGAGTGAAAGCAGACGGCACAGAGATCTTTACAGCCCTCACTGACGGTTTAACCCGATTTGTTTTCGTTCTACAGTTGTTGGGATGTTTGAAGATGACAACATGCTTCACAGATCAGTTGATAACCTGCAGCCTCACTCGGGGGAATTGAACAATTTCCCCATGATGCCAGAGGGACAAATGCTACAGCGCTCACAGCCCACCATTGCGGACAGATTAATAGAGGATGCAGCAATGAGCAGGCTCGTGGAAAGCACAAATCCTCCCTCAGCGTCTGTGGAACTGCCAGATTACAGCAATTGTCTCCAAACGAACACAACCAAAGAGCTCACCTTTCCATCCAAACCTGTTAAGCCAACAAAGCGGTTTGACTGTTTATTCTGTGGAAAAGTCTTTAACTATTTAAGCAGCTTAAAAGTCCATATTAGACGGCATTCCGGTGAAAAGCCTTTCAGCTGCTCGGTTTGCGGGAAACGATTTGCTCAAAAAACATACCTTAAACTTCACCAAAGAGTGCACTCTGGTGAAAAACCTTACAGCTGTCCAGACTGTGGCAAAAGTTTTTCCCAGAAAAGCTCTTTGAATATTCATCTCCGAACACACACGGGGGAAAAGCCTTATAGCTGTGTAGGATGTGGCAAATGTTATGCTTATAAGTATGGGCTAAATCATCATCAGTGTTTGAACTGGATGGTTAAACCAGAGGTGTTTGATACAGGCCCTCTAAGTAACGCTCAGAGTGACTCGACATGCAACAGTATATCTTTATTAACACCCACCATGGAGGATAAATACTGATTTAAACGAATACATTAACACTCAAAACATGGCTAAAAGTGGCTTTGGTCACAATAGACTACACCAACAGTGGTTAAACACAATTAACCAATTAAGTTATTGTGACAGGCCTGAGTTTGACTCATGAGCCTGTAAAAAAAAAAAAAAAAAAGAAAAATTATTTTTGCATGTGTTTGTTCCTAATATTTCAGACCACAAGATGATATTCCAGGAAATACTGTATTCTTATACTGTACAAGTTATATAATTAATGATTCTTAGGAAATGGTCCTGGCCAGCCTGTAAATCTACCTCCTTGGAACAGAAAGGTGAACCAAATTGTTCCTCTCAACGTCTTTTTCCATGTACAATATTTAATTAATTGAAATTAAAAATAAGACTTGGTATATATTTCTTCTTGAATATGACATTTACGGTGTTTATGTCTTGGTCATATATTTAAGCGTTCTGCTGTTATTGAAAAATGTGTTACTGTTTGAATACTTTGGTAATTCTGAATTAAAAAGAAAAAAATGTTTCGTTAACATTAGGACAAAATCTGGTTTAGTTTTGTCTTATCTCTGTCTAATGCCCGATAGAAATTTTCTCTGAATGTGAAGCTTTCCTGAACTGGTTCTGTTCCAGTTATGGTTCTAGAAGCTTAGATTTTATTATTAAAAGGATGATTAATGAGTGAAATTGAGTTTTATGAATAAAACAAATCAACACATTGGTATTAATTGTTTTGTTTTATTAAACAGAGGAATAGAAAAAAAACTAAAATCGGTAAAACACCTTTTACACCAAGCACAATACCACAGATTAATTCAAACCATTACAGACCTTGAACATGTGAGCTGGAGTATAAAGTATGAAATGATGCGTTCCACTAATTTAGTCAGAAGCGGCCTTTAGGACTACTCACCGATAGGTTTCTGTTGCCAAGGTTTGGGGTTGTTTTGATTCAGATGACCCACCTTCAACAATCTCTCGATTTAAGTGAGCCATTAAATGATGATTGAGGTTTACTTTCTGTGTGAAGGCCTTGCCACATTTAACACACAGAAAAGGTCTCTCACCGGTATGGATGCGTAGATGACATTTTAAATTGCCTTTCTGTGTAAACCTTTTGCCGCACAAGCTGCACCTGTAGGGTTTCTCACCTGTGTGAACCACATGATGAATCCTTAGAGCTGATTGGTTGGGAAAGGTCTTGCCACATAACTCGCACGACTTGATTGTCTGATGTGGAACCGGAGGGACACAGCTGTGGGAATTAAACTTCTTTCTTTTGGGGAAATGCTGCTTACAGATGTTGCAGAAGTTTGTCTTGTGTGACTTCATGTGGTGTGTCAGTGTTCCCTTGTGAAAGAATGTCCTATTACATATTTGACAGGTAAATATGCTCCTTTTTGGAGTTCTGTTTGCTTCTAAGCTGACAACATTTAAGTTATCAAGGAAGTCTTCAACCAGAGAGGGATTGTTCTCATTGCTGTTTGTCGGTAATGTCTGCTGTTTGTTTTGACTGGGCCCAACTGTAAGACTCGATGCTGCCTCAATTTGGCTTGCTTGGACAAACTGAACATCCTCCTCTTCATCGTCGTCCTCCACTTCGATTGGAATTATGTGGCTGCTAAAGGCCTCTTCTATCGTTTCCCCTATACTCAGCTCTAGACTTGTTTCCTCTGGATCTCCTCGCAACATACCCTGTTGTCCATCCTGATAAATTGGCAAGCTGCAAGTACTGCCATCAACCAAGTAAACATTTGATTCTTCAGCCGTGCTTTCTTCAGGTTCTGGTGTAAAATAAGCAGAGTCAAACTCTCAGAAAACAGGAAAGAAAATCATAATTTGCCCAGATTCTAACTCAAACTCCTCACATCTGTCTTACCTTGATTGTAAACAGTTTCTTCATTGGAGTTTGTGGCATTATTTGGTATCAACTCCTCTACTTTGATCTCCGCAAATGTCACTAGGTCTGATATATTTGCTGTAGCCTGTTAAAGAGAAAATCTTGCTTTAATCTCAAATTCAACACAATATATTGTTGAATAAGTGAGATTTAAACAGAACACGTTATTCATCGGCAGTTCTTTGAATCTTAATTCTTATTTGAACTGGACTTCTCACATATGAATGGCTGCACCAGTAAAATCATGACATTAAAACCTAAGAGTAGTAAAAACAAATCAGTTCACTAAAACTGTTAAACCAACCGAATCTTTCATAATCTTCTATTGCTATTAACTATATTTATGAATTCATTTTCCTAATGAAGCCAATTTAAGGTCTAATTCCCAGTAAAAGAAGCAGAATTCCTTTTGTGTTTAAAGGAAGTTTATTAAAAATGTTGTGATATAAATAAGAATCTCAAATGAAACAAATTTAGGCCCCATCCATTCTGGGGTTTCCATGTAAATTAAGGTACATTTATTACAATTGGATTCCAGCTTTAAAAAGCAGCATTTTTAAATGTATAACCTGTGTAGACAACACTGATATACAATGGAGAGAACAAGTAGCTGTTAATTTTAAAGGATTTCTATCATTGGTCCTATTCAAATGGGAGCAAATGAATCTAAAACAAAAATCCAGAAAATCACAAGGAGTAACTTTTTACATAATTAATTAGCCTTTTATTGCATAAGATGAGTAGCCTATATGATCCCCTAACAACCAGTAAGAACTCCAGCTCTCACAGGCCAGTTAGATCTTCTTTAAGAAGCCCTCCTCTTCTCCACTCATTAAATACACCTGTTGGAACTCATCCTTATAAAAGACACCTGTCTGCTTACTAAGTCCAAATAGATTTGGAAGGCCATCAGGGATAAAAATAGTAGACTTGCACAAGGATGCGCTACAGGGAAACAGGCATGCATCAATTATAAGAAAATGGAGGAGATTCCAGATGGCGGTCAATCTCCCTCATTCTGGGGCTCTATCTAAGAATATGGGGTGTTAGTGATTATGAAGAGGACGAGGGATCAGTAGCCCAAAATTTCAAGGCAGGACCTGGTAAATGACCTGGAGAGAGCTGACACCACAGTCTCAAAGAGAACCACTGGTAACACTATGCTGCCATTATTTAAAATCCTGAAGCAAGGCAGCACGTGTCTTGCCCATCTATTTGGATGATCCACAGGAGGAATGGGAAAGTTTTTGAAGTCTGATCACAACCCTGAAGCCAGGAGGAGGAAACCTAACTCTTAGGAGATGCTTTTCTGCAAACAGGGACAGCATCGTTGGAAGTGGATGGTTGAGGCCATGTAATGGGAGAATTTGGTCAACAGCCCTCTTCCCTCATTAAAGGCATTGAAGGTGGGTTGTGGCTGGGCCTTCCAGCATGACAATGACTCAGCCAGGTTCACTATGGATTCTATAGAGATGCTTCATATAAAAATACATCAAGGTCCTGAAGTAGCCAAGCCAATCTCCAGAACCGAACTCAATCGGAAAATTTTGACAGGCCTTAAACAACCCAGAAACATGAAAGATCTGAAAAATGATGTGTATGGAGGAATGGTAGAAAATCCCTGCTACAGTGTGTATAAACCTCTTAACTTTAGAAAATATCTGATATCTGAAATTGCAAACAAAGTTGTTATTATAAATGATGAAGTATTGTTTTTCTGATCAAATACTTATGTTGTGCAATAAAATTCTAACTAATAACTTGAAATTATTGGATTCTTGATTTTTGCTCAGCATTTCATTACTCACAGTTGACCAGTAGCAATGATATAAAAAAAAAAGAAAGCTTTCAACATTCTCTATAAGTGGGAAAAAATAAGGGAGGAGGGGGTGTGGACAGCACAGAATGCAAGCATGCAAAACCACACAGATGTAGAAGTAGAAAACACAGCTTTTTCTGACATTTATAAAGCTTCATCAAGTCATCCGATAGCAACGCTAATTTCTCCCCCAAGAGTTTTTCACAATCTTTAAATTTTGTGAAAATTATAGGCCCCATCATAAGATGTTTCTAGATTTTTACATTTGCAAATTTTCCGAATAACAGATTATAATGTAGACAAAGGGTTCTAAAAACATGTAAATATAGGCTGTGCCCGAACATACGCCCTAACCCTTATATAGGGATGACGCCATTTTATATCAGTGTCTGGTAGATGAAAAAGTAGTAAAACTGGTGGAGCCAAAATTTCCCACAATGCACCTTGAAAAGTAGTGTGCATCCATGGTCACTAGACAAAGGCTACGTTCACACTGCAGGCCTTGATGCACAATTCTGATTTTTTGAGAAAAAACACAATCTTTTCAATATGGTTAAACATAATACTTCTCTCCGCATCATCATCTGCCATGGTAGTTGTTTTTCTTGCCGCTTCTGCGTAGCAAGACGCATAATAGTGAGCTTTGTCAGGTATTAATGGCGTTCAGGTCGGATGAATGCGATCTGGTCGTATTTGAAAAGATCAGATTCGTATCTAATTCAGGACCACATAGCCAAGTGGCCTGGGTCGGATTGGAAAAAATTGGATCTGTGTTGTTCAGACTGCCATGAAAAGATCAGATCCAGGTCGCATATGGGCAAAAAAAAAAATTGGATTTCACTTCAGGTTGTAGTGTGAACATAGCCAAACAGATATATAACAGCATGCTTTGTAAAAGTTCCCCTCACAAAGCATCATGGGATTCGTTTTTGGGGAAAGGAGAACAAAGATGTGACAGGCAAAGTGCAGGGAGCCGGAGTCAGGTGACCAACAGAGAGCGAAAAGTACTGGTCATCTGTCTGAATAATCAGTTAAGATTCAATATAAAGTCCATTATATAGTCCCCGCTTTATATAGTGACCTAGGGGTTAGGATGGACTTTCTTACACAGCCACAGTCTTATAGCCCTTTCCTAAGTTGTTCATAGTTGCAGGTGTGCACTAAACTATTTTACTTTAGTAATGGCAAACCAAATGCAAAGAACTGCTTTTTTAAAAACTGCAAATTGATTTGGTTGAAACAGTTGTTAATAATGGATCAGGAAAACTGGGATGCTTTAGAGCAGCTTAGATTGTAGAAGATATTGGATTTCAGCACATATTATGTCAAATTGAAGTAAAAGCTGACAGTTTCTTCTCACATTTTTTTGTGTCTTTATATATATATATATATATATATAGATAGATAGATAGATAGATAGATAGATAGATAGATAGATAGATAGATAGATAGATAGATAAAAGTGTTCATGTGATGAGATGATTTAAAAAATATATTGTTGACAGTAATTACGACCTTTTAGACATTTTGGAGCCAAACAAACATATGAATGGCAGCAGGACATAGGGTATCCTCATCTGTGTTATATTGCAGCAATAATTTGATTATAACAGTATATTAATAGGGACTGTTTCTCCGTCCTAACATGATGTTTTTGTTTTATTATTTTCTCACCTTATCAGAAGGCATTGGTGAATCGTCACATTTTTCGAGGCTGTGTGGGTCTCTGTCTTTCCAAAGATTTATACTCCAGCTGTTCCCAAAGATCCCCTCTGCTGTCGGAGGGCAGCCAGCTAAGACAAAGAGAAGTAGAATAAATCAAAGCTGACCATGTCTGCTCACACTAAACCGCTTTAATTGGCGACACTGATACCATCACTGCTGCAGACAGTCTGCACTCCTACGCTGCAATAACTTCTACTCTTCTTGGGGTTGTCTTCTCTTACACAGGTCAGCTCACACTGCAGACTGTTTATTTTCTCTGCCAGGGCTGAGTTTGCTAACAGGAGCCTGGAGAGCTCCGCTCGCAGCTCGGCTGAGTCCTGCTCCACCACCTTGCAGACCTGGCTGAACGCAGACTTTGCCATCGTCTCCATTATGGAGGATAGCTGAGAACGGATGGGGAGGCGGCTCGCCATTACGGACGAAAGCAACAGGGCTTCACAGGAATATAAAGAAATTATAATTCTTGTTTAATTTAGAAAATAACGCGTAGTGCTAAAATAAAACAGTTACTTTAGCCACACCTAGCCGGCGGAGCTAATTTGAATCAACGGCGCTCAAAGCGGGACAGAAATAAAAGTTACACAGGTGACGTATTTCCGGCGGATGTAACTGGTCAGCTGCGTTGTGTTAGCGCTTCCTTGTTCCGAATGAAACCTAAAGCAGTAGTTTTTATTTGTGTTTTAGACTGATATTAATGCGAACCGACCTTGCGACTGTCAGCGCCACCTTTAGCGGACGGGATTCGGATCAGTTTGAGCCGCAGTCATGAGCACGGAGAAAGACTTTTCACCCCTCACGCCCAACATTGTAAGGGCTCTGAATGATAAACTGTATGAGAAGAGGAAAGTCGCGGCTCTGGAAATAGAGAAGCTGGTGCGGGAGTTTGTGGCCCAGAACAACTCCACTCAGATCAGACATGTGATTCAGATCCTGGCATCGGAGTTTGCCCTCTCTCAACACCCCCACAGCCGCAAAGGGGGTCTGATCGGACTGGCAGCTTGCTCCATCGCCCTGGGAAAGGACTCTGGTCTGTATCTAAAGGAGCTCATTGAGCCTGTACTCACGTGTTTCAATGACTCAGACAGCCGTCTGCGCTACTATGCATGTGAGGCCCTGTATAACATAGTGAAAGTGGCCAGAGGAGCAGTTCTGCCTCACTTCAACCTGCTTTTTGATGGTCTCAGCAAGCTTGCAGCTGATCCAGACCCTAATGTGAAAAGTGGATCTGAACTCCTGGACCGATTGCTGAAAGACATCGTTACCGAGAGCAACACCTTTGACCTGGTGGCTTTTGTCCCCCTGTTGAGGGAAAGAATCTACTCCAATAATCAGTACGCCAGGCAGTTTATCATTTCTTGGATCCATGTCCTGGAGTCTGTGCCAGACATCCACCTGTTAGATTATCTCCCTGAGATCCTGGATGGGCTCTTTCAGATCCTGGGTGATAACAGCAAGGAGATCCGCAGGACATGCGAGGTGGTGCTCGGAGAGTTTCTGAAGGAGATCAAGAAGACCCCCTCAAGCGTGAAATTTGCAGAGATGGCCAACATTCTTGTCATTCACTGCCAAGTTGCAGATGAAACCAAACTGACGAATGATCTGATCCAGCTGACGGCTATGACGTGGATGAGGGAGTTCATCCAGCTCGCAGGCAGAGTGGTGCTCCCTTATTCCTCTGGCATTCTCACTGCAGTGCTGCCCTGTCTGTCCTATGATGACAGGAAGAAAAATACCAAAGAAGCAGCTAGCGCCTGTAATAACAGCCTGATGAAACTGGTAACCCCTGAAGATGATGAAGATGTTGAGGAAGAAAAAAGCGGGAGTACAGGCTCACCCTCTGCTGGAGAAGGCCAGCCCAAAGTGGAAGGAGACAGCAATGACATGCTGAATGCATCCCAGGAATCTGTTGGTCTGAGCAACATTAGCTTCTTTACTCCAGCAGGCTCTGACAGGCCGCAAGTAACTCTGGATCTGGATGGGATTGTCCAGGTGTTGGACCGCCACCTCCATGACTCCTCCACTGGCATGATGACCCGCATAGCTGTACTCAAATGGCTTTATCACCTTTACATTAAGACGCCACGCAAAATGTTTCGCCACACAGACAGCCTTTTCCCCATTCTCCTGAAAACACTATCTGATGAGTCGGATGAAGTCATCCTGAAAGATCTGGAGGTGTTGGCTGAGATCGCATCATCACCAGCTGGCCAGACAGACCAAGCCTTCTCCTGTGACATCACTGACAACAAGCTGGTGCTTAAGGTACCAGAGGGTCCCAAACCAGGACAACAGCCCAATGCAGGCTCCAAGGCTTTGGACTCCTCCCCATCCACCCCCAGTATGAACTCCTACTTTTATAAGTTTATGATCAATTTGCTTAAGCGTTTCAGTCTGGAGAGGAAGCTTCTGGAAAACAGAGGAGCTTTCATCATCCGGCAGCTGTGTCTGTTGCTTCATGCAGAGAACATCTTCCACTCTATGGCTGACATCTTGTTGAAGGAAGAGGACCTTAAGTTTGCCTCCACAATGGTTCAGACGCTCAATACCATTCTGCTAACCTCTGCTGAGCTTTTCCAGTTACGCAACCAGCTAAAGGACCTGCACACTCAGGAAAGCTGTGCTTTGTTCTGCTGTTTGTATCGTTCCTGGTGCCACAACCCCGTGGCCACAGTGTCACTTTGTTTCCTCACACAGAACTACAAGCATGCATACGATCTCATCCAGAAGTTTGGAAATCTTGAGGTGACGGTGGACTTCCTGATGGAGGTTGACAAACTGGTGCAGCTCATAGAAAGCCCAATTTTTACCTACCTGCGCCTGCAGCTCCTAGATGTGGAGAACAACCCGTATCTGATTAAGGCGTTGTATGGTCTGCTGATGCTGCTGCCTCAGAGCCAGGCGTTCCAGCTGCTCTCCCATCGGTTAAGGTGTGTTCCTAACCCAGAGCTTATGAGAACTGTGGATGAATCCAAGTATATGGACTCTAAAAAGCAAGCAGCGTGCAACAAGTACTCCACTCATACTCAGATGGATTACAGCGAGCTGCTGCAGCATTTCGACCGTGTGCAAAGCAAACACCTGGAGGTCCGACACCAGCGCTCTAGCCGCGCATCTGATCACCATGACAGGAGACTGATGTGAGATTTGTAGTAATGGATAATTGAAAACAGTAAAGTGTGTCGTACATAAATAGCATACCAGTTATTGTTATTGAAGGCAAGAAGTATTACGTATATAAAATTATTTCTTTGAAAAACACTGAATATACCCTGTATGTGTGTATTTTGGCATTCCTGATATATGGTATGTAACAAACTAGAAAAGTATAGATCTCACCTTGTAAAGAATAACTTAACCTGCTTCCATATAAATTTGATAGGAAGGATGTATATATAAAAAAAAAAATCTATAACTTGATATCTGTTTTCTTAATTGTTTCCTAATGTGCAGCGCTACTACTAAGCATGTCTTTAAGGTTGCCTTAATCATGGCTGCCAGAGAAGGAATCTCACATGTTCCAGCGTCGATTCCGATCAGCTGACATCCAAGCCTGCTAATGAGTCATTTTACATTGCAGAACTTCAACTTTATTTCTCGCACATGTATTTTCCAACCTTTTTGTATGCAAAGATCTTCAATTATTTGTGATGTCTCACTGCAGTCATTCTATGTGAAAATAAAGAAGACCATGTAACTGTTTTTTGTGGTTATTAATTTTTGCACTGCTGAGGGGATCAGAGTGTTTATGAGAAGCAAAACAAGGCACTTGTTCCTTCCCTGTTGGCAAATCGTTTTTTACATTTTAACATATTTCATCTACCATATGTAAGAAACAGTAATTATTTTTTGATGAGTTAAAGCTGTGTTAGTGTATTTAAGTAAATATTTAACGCTACAACTGCAGCATGAAGAAAATAACCTGCCTTTTTTGTATTTTTTAGAACAAATTATTGCAAATCAGTAAAAAAACAAGCTTTTTCTGCAGTTTTTTTCCCTAAAAAATGGTGTTTAACTAAAGAAAAATACATTACAAAATAAAGGTAGTACTTTCTTTGCAAGTAAATGTTACATTTATCACTCAAGAACACATGTGCAACAGGTTCCCTGATAGATAAAAACTTTGGTTCAACTAGAAAATTAATGTTTAAAAGATTATCCCTATTCATCCAACAGTGTTTGCCTATAGCAACATTAATTTGAAACTGAAAATAAAGTGGGATGAAAACATATACAATTTTCCAGTATTTGACCTGATCATTTGTGAAGCAAAAAATGTTGTTTTTGGTCACTATCTTATTGATTAATGCGTGGTGAGATAATTCCTAAAATGTATGATGTAGTCAGAGAAAAATAGATATCAACTCATGTAAAACATAAAAACTGGACATTTAATTTTTTTTGTTTTAACCAGAAACTTGCTTAGATGTCATTATAGATTTTTGTTTGCTTCATTTACATTTTGCCCAACTTCTTCATTGCTTATGTGGAACTGCTGCCCAAAAATGTCCTAAAGTGCCTAGTGATTTATAGTGAAACTAGAGTGCTTGAGGCCCCCACCCACCCTGCAGCAATAATAATTTGATCTCTAAAGTACATGGTAAAAAGCAAATATATCTCTCAGCACTATTAGAGACCTGAGTGCTGCACCAACTCTCACGGATGGAGGCTGACATCGCCTGTAATGTTGTGGATGAATCTTGCTGCGCTGTGTGTGGAAAAGCCCACTTCACTCCAGTGGTTCTGAGTTGCACTGGTTGTGGTTGTAGTTTTTGTAATTTTTGTTTGGAACAGTTCTGGACACAGCTTGGTGCTAAAGAGTGTCCTCTCTGCTTTAAAAAATATCCTCATAAATGGTGTATTATACACGAGGAGAGAATGATTCTGCTCTGTGCAGCTGATTTGGACCTAATCTGCTCTACTTGCAGCAGATCAGGCCATCATGTGAACCACAGAGTTTATCCCATAAAAGAGGCCTTCAGGAACCACAGGGTAAGTGGAACACAAACAGCAGTCAAATAGTTGTTTAACACTTAGAGTTTATAATTTATTCAAAAATATATAAATCAGTGAAGAGGTCTGTTAAAGTTTTTTTTTAAATTCAACTCACCAACTTTGGACATTTCAGGTTAAATGATATAGATTGTGGGACAAGTGGAAAAACACATAAGGGTTTTCTCCACAGTGTTTTCTACAGCAGGACCGTGTTCCCTCAGCTTTCGCTCCGTCTACACAACCTATTTTTGTGCGGCATTTCAGCAAGCTAACTTGGTCAACCAAATACTATGCTACAAGACAAACAAGGTCAAGTTGCTGTTAAATACTTTTGAGATTAACAAATTAACCTTTAGGATAATTATACTGCAGCATGTCCCTTGGCTTTTAATTAATTAAGTTTTTCTCAATTTAAGTGGTGATAGTTACGATCGACACCCCATTGAAAGGCACAAAAAGGATCCTAGATACAGCTTCTATGTTCTATTAATATCTTCTGCTCTTACTCTTGATTTATTTTTCACTTCTTTCATTACACTCACCGCCTCATTTACCGACCCTCTCAAATAACCGAAGGATCATCATAACATAATTCAAGAACCAAATATTCCCACACTATTTTACTTTTTCTATTATTTCCTTAATATCATTCAATCTTTTTAAATTGTAAAGAGTTTATTTTTATTTAGGAGGGGTGTTTATTTGAGAAAAGGCAATGATCCCTGGCAGTGCTCAGTGTAGCATTACATTGGACATGTCTTTGAGATCTGCAGTATTAACAGTTATTTCTGAGGTTAAGTTGAGATAGCCTGATGTGGGAGGGGCATTAGAGGCTGCCTTACCATCAAAGCAGTTGGTGAAAGAATGGCCACCAGACATACTCAATCCGAGGATGACCTTTCCTGTCCAATTTGCGGATATATTCTGAATCATCCAGTGGTCCTCACCTGCAGACACAGATTCTGTAAGGCCTGTCTACAAGACAGCTGGGACACACAAGACCAAAAGGACTCCCACTACTGTCCTCTGTGCTGGCGTTGCTCTTCAATGGATCAAATTGTGGTAAACACTGTGCTAGAGAAGGCCTGTGAATCCTTCAAAGGCGACAGAAGCAGGAACGACCCAGATACTTGTAGAGAGCATGGAGAAAACCTGACACTCTTCTGTTTGGAGGATTTGGAACCGATCTGTGGTCTTTGTGGCAAAGCAGCTGCGCACAAGGGGCACAGACTCTATCCCATTGCAGAGGGTGCCCATGATTGTAAGGCAAGTATACTGTCACAAGACTGGTCAAATCATTGCTTTACAGGAACAGACGAAAGCACATCCTTGACATGTGTCTAAATCTAAACCATTAATTTAAAATTTCTCTCTTTTGATGCCAGATTTTACAGCTGGAATAAATTCTGACTTAACCTTAGCAACTTCAAACAAAGACAGACCAAAATATAGGACATGCAGTATTTAAATACCATGGAGCTTATACTATAACCCTATATTAATATTCACTTTCACACAGATGTAATTTTATTTCACATATAACATCACTGAAAATCTGCTGCATTTTGTTGACTGAAATTCTAATACAAGGACCTTAAGTTTCTAATATTAGAATTATATATTTGGTTTCCTGTTGCTATTCAGGTCCAGAAAGATCTGAAACTCGACTCCCACAAGGTTTTACTGACACTACATTCATTCAAATCCTGCCCCTACCTCTCCTCGCTTGCCGAAGGCTGCTAGAAAACCAACATACATTAATTTTTTTATATTGAAAAATATTTTATGCATACCCGTTTTGCTGATTTTAGAAACAACAGAGCTTCCTCTTTGATGCTACTGTATTGTTAAGCTTTCCATTAAGATGGAATGCTGTTATGGAGAGGTATGAGGCAGCTGAAAGCCCTGCAGTGTGCTGACAGATTGGCCACCTGCCAGACTGACCTTGTAGAAGAGTTGATGTCCTGTCACTAACATTTCAGGAGGAGCTGAAGAGCGCACTTCTGCCCTTGAAAGAGAAGCTACAGCTGTACAAGAATGCGACAGTAGCATGTGAGGAGGTGACTGAACATATAAAGGTATGGCCTGTTTTCAGTGTAAGGTGTTAGAGCTAATGTTTCAACACAATGATTGCCCATTTTACCCATCCATTTTTGCAGAACCAAGCTAAACACACTGAAGCACAGATCAAAAAGGAATTTGAAGCTCTTCACAACTTCCTTAAGGAGCAGGAGGCTACTAGACTTGCAGATTTAAAGGCTGAGGAGGAACAGAAGAATCTAATGATCAGTCAGAAGATTGAGGAGATAAACAATGAAGTGGCAACTCTTTCTAACATTATCAGAACAGCAGAACAGGAAATGAAGAGTCAAGACATCCCATTCCTTAAGGTTAGATGCTCATAATGACATAATTTCAGGTAGAATTAGAGGTTTGCATGTCAGCTGCTGAAACTTATATCCAATTTTACTTTCAGAATTACAGGGAGACAATCAGAAGGTGAGCTGCACTAATATGCTTAGTGAAAGATTATTTTTACATAAATAATTCCCCCCAAAATAACATCCAGTCTCCTTTCAGAACCTGGAAAACTTCTCCTGATCCACTGATGTTATCTGGAACACTAATAGATGTGGCAAACCACTTGGGCTCTTTGAAATATAAAGTGTGGGAGAAGATGAAAAAAATTGTTAAATATAGTAAGTTTCATTCACAGCAATTCGAACAGGCTTTGCCAATCACATTAATAACTCTACTTTCTCTTCAAAGCTCCAGTGATACTGGATCCAAATACAGCAGCAAGCTGTTTCATCTTGTCTGAAGATCTCACAGTTCTGCAAAACTCTACCCAGATCTTCAAGCTCCCAGACAATCCAGAGCGCTTTGACGTTAGTGCAGAGATGCTTGGTGCTGAGGGCTACTCCTCTGGACGTCACAGCTGGGATGTGGAGGTGAATGACAACACCTACTGGGTTTTAGGAATAGCCAGCGAGTCCATTAACAGGAAGGGAAAACACGTGCTGACACCGGCAGAGGGATTCTGGACTATAAGATATCGTAATGGAGAACATAAAGCCTGCACAGCGCCCTGGGAGCCACTTAACATGTCTAAGAAGCCAGACGTGATAAGAATGGTTTTGGATATGGACAGAGGAAAGGTGGCATTTTATGACCCCAGAGAGCGAACGCCTCTCTACACCTTCACAAATATCATCACACCCCGAGCTTTTCCTTATTTTTGTACTGCTTGTAAAGAGCATCCACTGAAAATCCTACCAGAAAAGATAACCTTATCAACTGAGTAATAACTGAGCTAAAATAAAGCACTCCAGCTAAGTTTTCATATTACATTCTTTACAGTACTACCTTACATCTGTTAAGATTTTATTTATTGTCTTTGTTCAATAATGGTGAAAAGTTCAGCTTATAATAGCTTGAAATGAATGAAAAAACACTTCTTTTTTTTAAAGAAGTTGTTTATTAGAGTTACAACACAACTCAGAGATTTGGGCTTGCACATCAAACTAACACCTATATATCACACTGATGAGATTTGTTACATAAAAACAGTCAAAATGTGCAACTTAGCTTCTCTGCTTATAACCACAATTTATCTGAAATCCTTTTCATTAAAAGCATAAAATGTGAAATAGCTACAAAGTTTTTGAAAGGCACAAACTAGAATAATCTGCATTGTTTGGAGGTACGACAGGGTTGTTTGGAGGTTCAAGTCGAACAAGCAGGTTTAGATATTCATTGCATTAAAAACACCAATAGCTTTTACGGTTAGCATGGTTTTATGTTAAGGTTAAAATGGGTTTGACCTTAAAGACATTCATTATGCATGTTGAAATCGGGTATTTCAACCTCGTTAAAACATGTAAGAGTAACAATAGTTCAACCTACACAGTAAAACCTAGCAGCATTTAGTATTTCCTGAATGGGAAATGCTCTAGAACAAAGTTTTGCTTAATACTACAGGTTATATTCTAACACCGTTAATGTAACATGTATCTTCAAACTAGCTGTGGGAGGAATCCACTCTATGTTAATGCTCAAAGGCATTTTGAAATGTTTGTGACTTAAAAAAAAGGCTGTTAAAAGATTAAAACAAGCCCTCACATTATGTCCTAGTGTGTTACTTGTTCAGTGTTCAAACTCGTGTAACAGTAGTCAATGTAAATAATCTAAACTCTGTTTCCTGAATGCTCAACACTCAAAACTGTGTTGCAGCAGAACTGAATGATCCAGACATTGCTGTGTGCATACCTGTGTGTTTCCCTCTAGCACCTGATTAGCCACCCTGACCGAGGCACTTTGAATGCAACGCTATGGCCACATGTCATAGAGACATTCTGCCCTCCACTATGGAGTTGTAAAGCTCCTCATCCACTGGCTCATAACGGGCAGCTCGACCGTTCAAAAAGAAGATCTGGTCTGTTGTGAGACGTGGGTCAAATCCCTCCCTCTGCAGTCTGGTCTTTTGGATCTTAAATGTACCTAAATGGATTTTTCAAAATATTATAGTTCATTAACAAGCAATTAAAAATAGTGACAAAAAAGGGGTTAATTTTACCTGTGGTGTCTATCTGTGGGGAAATTCGCAGGAACACTGGGCGGGCATAAGTAGGAAGTAATCTCTGAATCTTCTGCAAGAAACCGTCGCAGTCAAAGTTCCCTGTAGAATCAGCAATGGCAGCCATGCCTGCTTTACCTTCCACACCTAGAACAAAAATCATAGGGACAGCAGTGAGATTAAGGAGGAAAGCCCATACTATAGCTGCGATCTTACAGGAACGTTAGTTCACCTGGCACTGCTACGCCGTACACAGCCACGTCAGTTTGATTCAGAACACTGTTGAGTATGCCCTCCACCTCAGTGGTAGAAACGTTTTCCCCTCGCCATCGGAAGGTGTCCCCGCTGCGGTCACGAAAGTACATGTAGCCCAGCTCATCCATCACTAGCACATCCCCTGGGGTAATTAGAAAGCTAATTAGCTGAAACTCTCTCCCAAAAGCATACAGCATGTGTGTAGCTAAACAGTCACATCACACATGCTCTTCATCGATGTATTTGTTCGACGTTTCTGGTGTTATGACAAAACGAACAAATAAACCAAATCAACATTAAACTTTTTCAGTAACTGTAGCCTGTACGGATCAAACCAGAGATTTAGATGAAATAAAATTCTAACCTGACAAATATGCTGTATCATTTTTCCTGAAGACATTGTGAATGATCTTCTTCTTAGTAGCATCCTGGTTGGCATATCCATCAAAGCGCCGTAATGGGTCCTTCTGATTTATTCGTCCTACTAGAAGGCCTGGTTCCCCTGTAAGGCATTTAGGATTCCAACTCTGGGCTTTCATCACATAACATAGAAGATAAAGCTATATAAGACACATTTATCTTAGCAATAAAGCAATTTGTTACCAGGGCGGCAAGGCACACAGAGACCATGGCTGTCCCGAATGAGTTCCATGGTGTCTTCGTTGACTTTCACCAGCCGGATGGGGTAAACGTAGGGTAGAATGCGGCTGTTAAATCCACAGGCTCCGACCTGCCAAAGGAAAGTCAGCTAAAGGGAATCCATATCACGTTTTAGGTGCAAAAGGAATTCATAATGAATGCAAACCTTTCCATCCATGTTGGCAATGCTGCAGTTGCATTCAGTAGCTCCATAAAACTCCCCGATCTGCCCCACCCCAAATCTCTCCGTGAAGGCTTCCCAAACGCTGGGGCGCAACCCGTTCCCCACTGCCAGGCGGACTTTGTGGCCCTTTTCAGAAGGTCGGACCGGCTGTGACAGGAGGTACCGACAGATTTCCCCAATATACTGAACCACCTGTGAGAAGACATCATTTCAAAATCTCTTATTTTAATTCATGATTCAATTAACGGATATCGCTAAAACTTAAGCTCTTACAGTGCAGTTGAACTTGATGCAATCTTCCCAGAAGCGGCTGGCAGAGAATTTCCTTTTCACTACCACTGTGAGACCATGGATAAGACACTGACCAACTCCAATAATGTTGCCTAACAAGGATAAAGCCTTTAAGTAACAAAATTCAAGTTGGTCTAAAGCTGGAGTCAGATTTTAGTGGAGGTGAGCAACACATACCTGCTGAGTGATACAGGGGCAGGCAGTCATAGATGACATCTTCAGGATGCATTCGAAAGGCAAAGTACCCAAATGCAGCTATTCTGTAGTAGCTGTTGTTAAAAAAGAAAAGAAAAAAACATTTTACAGTGTTTTAAGTAACTGTACAGGAACAGTAGACTTAAAAAAAAGGTTTCTGGTGAGTAGTTAGTCAGCAAAACATACCGACTGTGGACCACAATAGCAGCTTTGGGAAGTCCAGTGGTTCCAGAGGTGTAAATATAAAACAGGCGGTCTGCAGAAAATAATGCAACATTTTTACCATTTGAAATCAGCTACAATTTAGTTCATGCCATTTGTTTGTTTTTCAACATGGTAAAATGATCATAATTATCACCATTATCACTTTATATGTATTTTTAGACGGATGCCTAAAATTTAAATCACAACAGAGGAAATGTAAGATTGTTTTTATTACACTAATAGATATAAATTAGGTCTTTCTAATATAAATGTTTTGCTCTGTTCTTTTAGTCTTTATCACATATTCTGTTGCTCCTTTTTAATCCACAAAAGCAAAAAACAAAACAAAAAAACAAAAACAAAGAAAAAATACCTCTCTTGTGTATTTTGTCTTTTCAAAGTTAAATTCAGAATTTTAAGGCAGAGTTCTGTGCTATTTATTCAAATATATTCCCAACATATAACTTTTGGTCTGGACTGGCCGATTATAGGATTTAATAGTAAGCAGTTAATGCTGCGTCAAGGCCAGATGCAGAGGTAAAGATGAACACATTCAGATCACATGCTGCCATAGCTAGACAGGAACCCTTTACACGAGAAAGCTCTACATACAGACATGAATAGACTCAGGAAGTGCTTTGAAGGTAGTACGGGACACATGCATGTGACTAGTTTCTTGACACAATGAGGATAATAATGTCGCTTGATCTCTCCAGAAAAACAAACAGACCATTGAAACTTGGTGCCGACATATTTTCTCATGCTGATATTTATAGTAAAATGTAATAATATTTATCCTTTACACAAAGGTTCTGGTGGTTTAGGCTGAATTTGCAGCATCAGTGTATAACACAGCTATAAAGACAGCAGCGAAAATCTTATTTTATAAATATGCAAGGTGGATCACACCATAAACATTCTGTGCTCTACAAAAACTTAAATCTGTACTAAATTATCTAATCTTTCTTGACTTCGATCAAACTGGATATATCAAAGATGTGACCTGCTCTAAGGACGCCTATATTAAGATTTCTGACAAAATAATCAATAAAAAAAGCACAAGAACTGAGAAATAATCTACTTTTAAGCTGCAAAAATCTAAAATAAACTATCCAAGATCAGATATAGGGGTTGATATTACAATCAAAGTGCAACATGATTAATTAATAATAAATAAATACTGCAACATCATAACTAAAAGATAATAATATCAACAATGCTTAAAAAACAGAAGCCGAGTGGACGATAATAAGGCTCAGAGCTCTGTCTTCTTTCACAGCAAATCGGTCCTTTCTATTAATATTTACTGGCCGACTACGTCAACTTCCTCCTTCTGAAGAAGGCACCCCCACCAAAAAACCTCACACTTCTGCAAAATGTTTTTTTATATAAGGCTGAACTCCAAATATATCAAGAAAATGTTACCGTGTAGCACCTGCACTTCTCCAGCGTTCATATAAGTGAAATAAGGAACCTGTGGAGATGTTGTTGCTTATGTAATCATATGTAAAATAACTTTGTGTTGCCATCTTTAAATACAGAAGCTTAAATAAACTAAGATAACTCCTTTAAGTGATTTAAGAAAATCAGGATCATGAATTAACAGCTGTGTGAGCTTCTGGTTAAAGACAAGTAGATTCACCTGGCATCACCTAAAAAATGCAATCCTTCTTTAAAAAGGGTAACTGTTGTGTTTAACAGGGAAATAATGAGAGAAAATAGCTTTAATGTTTTATATAATGACTTTATTTATTCTATATAATCATTTTATATTTGTAATTTTACTACCCATAACTTAAAGCTACAGTGTGTAACTTTTAGCGACATCTAGCGGTCAGACTGCAGCAACACGAACATCTCCCCCCCACCGCTTCTCCCCCCCAACAGTACGGCGAGCGTTACGGGACAAAATGTCTTCCAACACGTCCGCATCACCTACCTTCTCAAGTGATGAGGTTTGTTTACATAGATAATTTTACAGATAGTATTTCATTAGTCTGTGTAGGGTATAGATTTCATGTAGACTTAAGATAATAAATATACCCGTTATTTTTTCTACATCGTTGTGACGTTTTGGCGATCTCGCAATCGCTAGTTTGTTGGCTCTGCGCTGCCGTAGCGCAAAGATGTCTGCCTCCATGGCTGCGAGACCTGCTCCTATGTAATTATAAATAACGAATTCTAAGGCAACGCAAATATTAAGGTTAAGAGGCTGAGCTCGTAGATGATGATAAATAACATAGTTATGTATAATATATTACATTTCTGACTGTATATCCCTGTAATTATTACACACTGTAGCTTTAAGTGCTTACCCATTATGACAATATCTACTATTGGTGGAAATCTGGTAATGCTTGCAAGAGATCTCATACTAGCTATGAACTACCAGGGTATCAGTGTCATATTGTGGTTGTAATTCTTCAATTGCAACCAGTGAAATAACAAATCCATCAAGAGAAAAAAACATTTTGTTATAATATTAAAGAAAGTTTTTAGATATCAGCTAGGAAGCTAAACTTGGGCAAAAACAGATGTTCTCTTTTCAACAAATTAGTAGCAAAGTGGCTTAAAGACAGCAACGCTGGTGTTTTGGTATGTTCACTCAAAACAAAAAATCACCTTTAAAAACCAGTTGGTGGAGGTGAAAAGGTGAAAATATGCAAATGAAAATAAGGCAGCCTATGAACCTTTCTAGTTGATACAAAAAAAGATAAATCTTTTATACAAAGCACAAAGGATTTAATTGGTTAACTAGAAAGAACGCTGATGTGATTAAAAAAGAATGAAAACAACAAATACACAATGAAAAGGAAATTAATAGCTTATTCATTGCCTACTCACCATTCATGCCTTTTGGGGGAACACATGGTGAAGGTGGATGTCTTGATGCAGTGGCTAGAAGTGGATCAAGAGGTTGAGCTCCCAGAGCTGCCAAATGCTCTGCACTGAGGTCCCCTGTGCAAAAGCGTACCATGGACTGGCTGAGGGATGAATTAATCTCCAGCATGGCTGAAACAAAAAAAAAACAAACAAAAAAAAGGACATGACAGAGGTCAACAGAAGATGTGTCTACTTTTTTTTTTAGAAAATACAGTTGATGTATTCCAACTTTGTAATACTATATGTATCATATTTGATACACTTGTCTGAGACATTTTTTTAAACAAAGGTAAAGGGGAAATGAGTGAGACATTTACTGTAAAATTAACCACAACAATTCTCTTTTGTCACCCAAGATGGGAATAACAGTCCTTATAAACAATAGGTCCGTTCATTCAACAACATCTGAGTCAAGTTTTTCTCCTTTTGAATCCAGAGGTACCGTGTTGAATTTCTTCTAAGCTGTGTCTAGCCTGTTTACTTCCTGGTTCCTGAGCAAATCATGAGAATTCCCAAAGAAATTCCAAAAGAGACAAAGTGAAATAAAAGATAAAAAAAATAGTGGTAATTTATGTTAGCATAGGAGCAGCAGACTGCAAACATAAAAGCCAGCAAGAGAAGGGGACCAAAGATAAACTCAACAATATCTCAGAAGCCACTGCATGCTTCAAAGCTATTTGCAGAACAGTTACTGGAACTAAATTATCTCGTCTTCCTTCTGTATTTCTTGTATTCAAGATTCTGATATAATTATTGCTCCTTTAAATTATTCCTTTAAAAATCTCCATCTCTATTAGTTTTTTGCCTCTGCCCTCCAGTGGAAGTCTTAGGTAATACAGGTGCCATTTTATTAAAAATTTTGATATGACTACTCAAAATCTCCAAGAGCTTACCTATTTGACAACTTCAAACTCACTTTAATATTAATATTGCCCATCTGTTTGCACACTATAGCAGCTGCTATGGCAGCAATTAAGGAAGCAATTATTTAAGAAATATCTAAAGTTTGTGCCAACAGGAACAGTACTACTGCAAGCTTAAAGTGTCAGCAAGCAGTTTCCTTATCAGCAAAGACAAAAAGTATCAGACTATTTTCCTTTGTAGAATCTACAATCTACTGCTTTGCTTCTTGATAAGAAAAATTATGACTTTATCATTCAACACAGGAAATATACAGCCAAGTGTACTGCATGAAATGCAAATACTAATCTTTTTAAAACACCAACAAGAAAAATAAAATCCCATGAATTCATCATTGCTCAATTAAAAAAAAAAAAAAACAAAACAAAAAAAAACACTGCTTGCTATTGTACAGATATTTTGGAAAAACGAATAAAAGATAAAATAGAAACATTTTAACAATTAACAGGATAACAATTTTTTTTTTTGGTTTTTTAAGGGCATAAAAAAAGCACATCCCTAAAGTTGATCAGATATTATAAAGATATTACCTTAAACGCCTGATGTAACACTCAAGAAACCAAACATGGTATGTTCATTCATATTAAATTTTCGATTCAATTCAATCTATTTAAATAGCACCAGTACACAACACGTCATCTGAAGGCCCTTTACATGTTAAAGGATTATATATTCAATCTTGTAAAATAACTTTCTGCAAATTATTTCTTAATAGGTATTATGGGACTAATATTTAATCAACATCGAAACAGTTTTTTTAGCAGCTAAATTGACAAAAATTGATGTTTCATGGAATAAAAGATAAAGGACTTCATAGGGGAATTCTCAGGGGATTAACGGAGCAGATCCGGACATGTAGGATGAAAGGACGTCCTCATAGTTTAGATTTCAAACATTGGGTTAATGCATTAGGCCCAACCTCATGGATTTGACAATCAAAATGTACAAATGAGAAAATAAGTTTAAGTTGACTTTCCACCATTTTCATTGTAATCAATAGGTTTAACACAAAATCTAGTTTCTAAAAAGTACATGTTTTTATTTGCCATTTGGACAAAATCATTGGTAATAAAAGAACCCACAATGGTCACAGAAATAACATGAATCTGACAAAAGCAATCAATAAAATTCTAACACATTGAAATTTTTATTCAGACTTGCTTTTTTAACCATGCTTTCACAGAAATGATGGTACCCTTATCCTAATCACTGCATTGAAATTGTTAATGAGACTTCTACTCCTCTTAGCAGGTAGTTTGGTCCGCTCCTCATGAGCAAACTGCTCAAGCTATCTTGATGAGACAAAGCTTTCTAACACCAGCAGCACATTCCTCTCTAGAATTCCTTAATCTTGGAGTTTTATTTTACCCCAAGATCAAGACACCCTGTGCAAGATGAAGTAAAGCAGCCCCAAAGCATAAGAGAGTCTCCTCCATGTTTCACAGTAGGGGCAGTGTTCTTTTCTTCATGCTTCATTCCATCTGTGAACATAGAGCTAATGTGCCTTGGCATACATTTCTATTCTTTCTCATCTGTCCATACAGTAGAACATTCTCCCAGAAGCTTTGTGGTTTGTCGACGTCTGGTTTGACAAATTCAAATATGACTTTTTTATGATTTGCTTTCAACAATTGTGTTTACCTTGTCGCCTCTCATTAAGACCAATTTGGCTCAAACAACGACGGATGGTGTGATCTGACCCCGATGTTCCTTGACCTTGAAATTTACCTTTAACCTCGAGAAGTTTTTCTGGGCGTCTTTGATTTGTCATCAATCTTTTATATTTGAGACTGTAGTCATAGGAACATCGAGCTGCTTGGAGATGGCCTTTTTGCTTTTAACATTCTTGTCTATAATTTTATAAAGCCTTGTTGAACAGCAATGTCTGATTTTATTTGTTCATCTTTATAGAATGTTAATCTATTACCACTTTAGTCGGATTCAAGTTATTCCTTTTACCATTGTGGGTTTTTCTCTCATTGAACAAGGGGAACCAAAAACTTTGTTTGCTTGTGAACCTATTAAAAACACCATCAGTTGTACTAATGGTAAAACTAATGGTTCAAGTCATGGCTTGCCGTTAGGAGTAAAGCCTGACAAAACTTTGACCAGATTACCAGTAGATAAGTATCTTTTTTAAAATCATGTTTTTCTTAGAAGGTAAACTTATTTAAAAAAAAAACTACACATATTAAACCATAAATGGTCTGGTTTTAATCATACTCTTAAATATCTTAGAGTTTAACAAAGTCATAGAAAAATGTTAGCAACCTTCCTATTTTTTTTTTCTTTCAAAATGGACAAATATTTTCTAAAGCTGTTTTGTCACGATACCATCATCTCCAGCAGCCAACATTACCTTTCTGCTGGCATAAACTAAACACAGACTTTGTCCGAAGGCCAAAATATGTATAAGAACAGATAAATCAGTTCTCTAACCCAGACAGCAAGAAAAAAAAGAAAAAGACATGATTTTGGAATTTCCCTATTTTGGCTGCTCTTGTTCATGATTCATAATTAGGAAAAAAAAAAAGTTATTGAATGATATCTCAGAAATAACACGTTGATGTGCTGCACAGGAAGAGATTGATGGAGACATTCTAACTTTTGCTTAAAATATATTCTCTGGCTGGAAAACATGTTTCAACTAGTGGGCTTCCTACTGTAGCGCCACATGAACTGTCTACATCGTTGCTCTTGGCCCTAGTTTTGAATGATTTAACTAAATTTTATTTAAAAAAAGTGAAAAACATGTTTGGCACTACCTTTTTTCTTATATAATAATGATTTTGTTGCCTTTATTGTGGCCAAAGCTATTATCAGGTCTCAATATAGGTAGAGCGACTAATGTCACACATTTTTAGCTGACTTATTTGGCCTTAGCAGCTATCTCTTGCTTCTGTTTGAAATGAAATCAACTTCATATATATTTATATTTCAACCAACATGCTGATCCTAGGCAGTAATACAGATGAATCCATTCTTACCATCAGCCAGCTCAGCTCCGAACACTATAGCCCGTGACCCTGACACCCCAATGCAGTGCAGAAGAGGATCGCAGCGGAGGCTGAAGTTAATAAGAGCAGCTTCCACTCCAGCCTTGGCCAGGCCAAGCCACAGAGCCACATGTAAGGGCCTGCTTTCCAGAAAGAGAGCCACCACATCCCCAGGGACCCATCCTTGACCTCTTGCCCAGTGAGCTACTGCATTAGAGATCTCATCCAGCTGATTGAAGGTCCATGTTTCTCCTGTGGCTTCATAGATCAGAGCTGGTTTATTTGGGTGGCGTTTCACTGTCTCTGCGAAAATGGTAGGAATATTGCTTCCAGAGCGCATGTAACGCCACAAAGCCAGCTTCACCCTCAGCAGCACATACAGGCCACTGAAGAGGGGAAAGAGGAGAGTGAATGCAGAGAAGGATGGAGAGTCACATCCACATGCATCACACATTTATTTAGATGCATCAACTTACTTGAGGTCTCTTTTGGCAGTACGTGCTGCAATGTAGAAGTATTTCCAGCTTCTGGTGCCCAGATATACACCTAGGCCTGCTGCCAGAGTCCAGGACCAGGACACCCCAACCAGACGTAGCAGTCCCACAGACCCCAGAGAGGCTGACACACTCGCTGCATTGTGCATTCTGGTCACGGAAAGAAGGGGGGGAGAAAGATGGCATTTACACAATACATGGCTTAAACTACAGCCTGCATGGGTTCCTTGTAAGTAGGCCTGCAGCGTGGAAGACTGGTACAACCAAGTACAGCAGAAAACGTACTTTTTTGCTGCTTACAAACTTACAAACACATTTATTTTACTAATCACTAATAGCTGCAAAAAATTGTATGCAGGTTGCATTTAAGGGAAAACAGATAGCTGGTGCCACAGTTGTAAGACAAACTCATCACACATGTGTTCAAAACTTACCTATGAGTCAATAATGTGCCGCGCCGTTCACCTTTCACCCAATAACCCTGCAGCTCCACTCACTTTGCCACTTTTTCAGTTTGACGGAAGCTTTCAAACTTCGTCTCCCAGCTGTTGAAACCGTCCACAATGTTGCGTTTTGGTAGCAAACAGGAGTTTTGAAGCGTTGCGGCAGTTTATCGTTATCAGCGCCCAAACTGTCAAGTAATGAGGAGTTTGCTAAGTTCAAGCTGTATCTCAAAATAGGGGGTTAGTGATAATAACAGGTTGGCATCTGCAAATAATAATAATAAAAGGGGTTCATACAGTAAGACCCTGAGATAAAACTAATATAATAGAAAAGTGTAAGATGTGGGCTGAGGCAGGCTATTTTCTGTACTCCATATTGGAGAGAGCTGCTGCCATTTAAGCCCCGCCCACTAGGGGGTGTATGAGCTTTGTGGAGAAGCTCAGCTATTTGCTAATTCTGGAGCCTGTCAAAAAATTCCCTATTTTGATTGGACGAAATCAGAAAAGCCCAATTAAAGCGACAGCTCGGTTTTGTGGCAGGTTGCTACTGAATGTAGGACAAATCATCGCAACACCGGTCCTGACTACTAACTAAATGTTGTGAAATGTCGCTGTAGTTCTCTCCCATCACTTATGCACTCCACGTTAGGCAGGCTCTTGTCATGCAAATCATGCCATATGAAGCTATGCTGAAAAATAACTTAAAAATGTACAGTATATGTTATATTTATAATTTTTTGTTAACTAAAACAGGGTAAAAAGCAGATACTTCAAGATGCCAGTTTATGATGAATGTGCTGGGGGGGGGGGACCAGGGTCAGTGTGAAGTTAGGGTATGTCTGCGGTTCTCCAATAAGGAGTTGCTGGATGTCAGAGTGCCTTGTGAATAACGACCACAGCAAAGTTTTGATAGGACTGTCCTTCGAAATAGGATATAAACCCAGGGGTCTAAAATCTGATTCCATGCAGCCAGGCGTAGGCCAGTTAGAGTAAATGGATCTGCTTTGGTGTGGGGACCCAACTTAAACTGCTTCATGAAAACATGGATCTATAAAACAGAAGAAACATAAAAAAAGATGATGTTTTAACAAGTAACTTTAAATTTTCTAATTTAACTAACTCTGCAAAAATAATTATTCAAATGTATCTAACCATTTTGGAGCATAGAAAAGAGCAGTACACACCAGAAAGGGGCCCCAACAGACACAAGATACCACAGTGACTGCTGCGAGCTGCACCAACATTTCCACATCCAAAGAGCAAAATAAGTAGGATGACGATGCCGATGATGCACGATGACCACTGCATGCTGAAGGTGTCGTATTTCCATTTCTCGATTTCATTCTTGCATGCAGAAGTGCCAGACCACTCACGATGTTGCAGAGCAGGGAAAAAAATAGAGCGAAGAGACCAAGACAAGAGAAAACAAGAACTAGGATGTTGTCAGCAGGTATCTCAGATTTTTGAATAGGTAAAAAGCACCATGTGCCAGGATATTGGATAGAATAGTTTCCCACTGAAAAAAAGGGTAAAACAGCCAGAACTAGTGCACAGGTTGACAAAGAAAGCACTACTGACTGAGCGTGAGTGACTGTAATCATAGAAACATGGAAAAATGGCTGGGTGATTGCCACACATCGTTCCACCGCCATTGCACAACCAAGCAATAATGAACATAAGCCAAAAAACACCATACTTGCTCCAAAAATGTTACAGAAGCCTGTTCCAGGTTTTAAGATTTTATACTGCTGATTTACACGCACGTGCAGTGCAAAGGCCCCTAAAATAACATGGCCCAAAAGGTCAGCCAGAAGTAATGCTACTGTTAGTAGTAAAAATGAATTTTTTGACTGGTGTCGAAATTTGGCACGGGACCGAGCCAGGATTCCCAGAGCAGTGATGTTGGAAATTGCTCCAAATATCATGGTGAAGCAGGACATCTCTAAACCACTAGACTGATAGGAAGTAGAGTTAGTATTAGACTCATTAGAAGAGGAGGATTCCAGTAGGGAGAGAGAAAAAGAAATCACAGGTACACTTGCTGCCGTCATCTTCTGTTTGATCTACAGAGAAATACAAGTGTGATTAAAATGATGATGTAAAAAAATCTAGATCCAGGTTTGATTAGTTTTTACAGCATGCCGTTAAAAACTATATGTAATTCTTCTAATGCATTATATGTTTCTTTCTTTTGGGACTGAGACTCTGCACAACATATTCAATTGAAATTATTATTGATTTTAAATAAAGATGGCATCAGAAGATCACTTTATTTCTGGTCTTAACCTCTTTTTTCGCCCTACGCTATTTTGTGACAAGAAGAAACAAAGCACTACTTATCTGGTCACAAACACTCACTTTTTCTCTTTAATTTTGTCAGCCTAAAATGTCTTTATGACAGGAGCAATTGCTTGCAAGGCTACAGAGCATATTTTAGTACAATTCAAGGAAATTCATGGAGACACAATTTGCTCACTGATATGAATTTTGTTTTTGCATTGTTTACATAAGCAGTGTTTTAGTCAAAGTCAAGGTTGAAATTTTGAATGCAGTACTAAATAATACAAAATATATAACAGAAGCATATCTCTAGGAAATAATTAATCTGAATTATGTTGTTTACTTATTCATATAACCAGATGTTTGAATTTCTGCCTAATTTCTGCTGTCATCTGTTCATAGTGGCAGGGCAGCTTCTCCAGTATTACCTCTAGAGACATGCAGAAACCTGTTATTTCCTCATATTTTAGCTTCACGACTATCTTGTCTGTCATCTGTTAGAGGAGGAATTTACCAAGCATGTTTTTTTATTAGTGTAAATTACTATTTGAAAATGTATAAGGAATAGATCAAACTTACCCAGAGATAGCAATGGATGAATGCTGGGTTGTTATGGAGGAAACAGATGGATATGTTCCTTATCAGCAACGTTGCCCTGTTTACTAAGTGAGTTATCACTATTTCCCTCTCATTTTCTCCTGGTCTCCTCCCTTTTCTCTCCAACCGTTTCTCTTTCTTCCTCTTCCTGCTCTCTCCCTCACTCATTCACTCACTCACTCCCTCACTCATTCATTCACTCACTCAGGGGAGAGCTTTTCAATCACCACCTTGTGGATCTGCATTTTCCGCTCTCCTTCTCTGTGAAAGTGCTCCCTTCATCTATTGATCTCTTCTGGTGATCAAATGGAGTACAGTGGATCAGCTTGCTCTCAGTTATTTTTCCACTGATTAACTGCTTAATAAATGATTCAGCATTCATATTCTGAAGCAGATCTCACTTTCATTATTTTCCTCAAAAAAAAAAAAAAAAAATTTTTTTCTTCTTTCCTGAAAACTTGTTTTATTCTTATCTCATAAACAAGTGACAGCATTGATTAAGTATTAGACAGTGGATCAGAGGCCCTTAGAGTTCATCTATGGAAAAAAGTAAATATAAACAGAGTTGACCCAAAGCCTAACTGTAAACTATATTTTTAAATGTAGTGATTATTTGTGGTTTATTTCCGTTTCTAGGAACCATCAAACAGCTTATCTCACATAAACAGGAAGAAACAGGGGAAAGTCTTGCATTTCCTCTTTAAGATTCTCAACCACACAGTAAGAAACCATTAGCAATGTTGAAATAGAATTATATTTATTCTTATGAAACAAAACATATAGAAAATACAAAACAGATTTTAAGAATTCCCCCAATGATAGAGATGTAAACAAGAAATAAACTGCTTCAATGTAAAAAAAAAAATATATAAGATGTGCGCTAAAACCATGTGTTACAGCGGTGCTACAATTCCAGAGGACTGTAATATCTAAACTTACATCAATTTTGAGACGAACAATAAGCAAACTCCCAAATAAGTAATTTAGAAGTATACAGATGCAATAAATAAAGCAGCCTTGCAGCCACACACGAATGTAAGCATAAATTTTCAGTAGCATATTTACAAACAGATATTCAAATGATAAATCTTCCTTTCCCTTACTGAACAGTCTTTTATTCTTACTTTCTGTTTTTATATTTTCATGGTTATGTATGCAAATCTGCATGCTTCAACTTGTCTGTCAGCTCCTAATACATCAGAAAGTCCCCGCTCAGTGACTTTCAATATTTGTCCTATTCTATTCTATTCTATTCTATTCTATTCTATTCTATTCTATTCTATTCTATTCTATTCTATTCTGTTCATTGCTCCTGTGTTTTAGGTTTGATCAATATTTCTGAAACTCAGAGCTTTGAAAAAAGAAAACATTTTTTTTTTTTTATCTCCCTTGACGTACCTGAATGAAACAGCCTACACTATTAGTAAGGCTGATAAAAATAATAATAATAATAAAAAAGCTATATATATATATATATATATATATATATATATATATATATATATATATATATATATATATATATTCAAAATAAATTACACATTTTATCAAAAAATCTTTTTTTTAAGTATTTGCATAAAAATGAAGCATGTAAGGTGTAAAGATAGGCCATAAAGCTTTAATAGGCACATTCTGCTTCTGGTATATTAGATGTGAGACTCTCCTGTGTCCTGGGTACTTCTTGATGCCTGAAGATAAAAAAGCAAAGAATATGAGTGAAAAAAAATGCATTTATGAAAATATTTCTTCATTATAAGACAATGCTTTTCTTTGTCAGAGTGAAATACACTATAGCCTACTTCACTTCAGTATTTCATAAAGCATTACTGATTTAAACCAAAGACAGTTGAGGTGCGGTCTGAGGCTGTTTGAAGGTTTGTACAAAATTGAGAAAATACTTGATAATTGGGTTTATTTATAATATCCAGTCTTGGAAAAGAAATGTTAAGCTATAGTTCAAACCATATATGAACATAATCTGAATAAAGTGACAAATAGGGTTCTTTGATATTTGAAATAAAATTACACTTTATATTTAGTTTGGTTAAAACCAGTTAGGATTTTCTAATTATTGAAGGCACACCTATGGATATCCTTTAAAAGGTCATTGTAAGGTAAAAAGATGCTGACTTAAGCTTTTTACCACAGTGGAACTGAAACTATAATTATATGAGGTAAGAAAAAATGGAAATGTTCATCCTAGGCTATACTAAAGATTCTTTCAAATAGAGTAAAATAAGGAATAAGTCTGTAAGTTTAAAAACAACTTTCTTGCAAATGTGAAGGGCAGTGGTAAATTGCTGTGCTGTTTTATGTAGGAGGGACTTGTTTACTTTATGAAAAAGAGGAAATTATGAAGAAAGAACATTGTGTTCAAAAACATAATGAGCATGCTGAGAGGAAAGAAAATAAAGCTTGAGGATACATTGCTTTTTCAAGTTGGCTATGAACCAAAATATATGAACAGATTAGTTACAAAGCAACTATGGGATCACGAAAACTGATGTTTTGGAGAAAAGTATTAGCCATCAAAAACCATCATCTTAGTACCATTGAAACTTTATGAACACAGCCGGGAAGGTGTGTCTGAGCAAAGTGGGCCACAAATCAGACACTGGTTAACCAGGTCTGTCTGGAATAAGGAGTTTCAGCAAATTTTTGTTAGAAAAGTAAAATGTTTAGCCAAAGTCATATAGTAAAAACAACAACAACAAAAAACCCACTGAGGGAATATATGCAAACCTTTAAATAAATAAAAAAAACTAACAAACAATAAAACTTCTCCTAATTTAGAAAATAGCAATGTTGTGTTTGTAGAATAAAATGAATTAAGCTAAGCCTGAAATTACCCAGGTCTCTGGCAGACGTAGATTAAAAGTATATAATTTTGTGAACATACTTCTTTTGAATGGTGAAAACCAATAAAAGTGAGTCAGCAGATTTTAAAGACAGTTTAGGTGCTGTAAGGCAAATATGTCTTGTATTTGTTATTGCTTT